GTCTGCATAAGAAGCAACATGATAGAATGGAATGGAGAAGTGGGCATCACAATTCAAGAGGGATATTGACAAACCAGAGCATGTCCAGAGGAGGGTGACCAAAATGGTGAAAGGTTTGAAAATCATAGGATCATAGATTTGAAACACAACTCAAAGGCCATCCAGTTCAACCCCCTGATGGACTGTTTTTAAACAGTTTTTAAACAGTGTCTGTTTAAAGATCTCCAAAGAAAGAGAGTCCACCACACTCCAAGACAGCATCTTCCACTGTGAAACATCTATTACTGTCAGGATGAGAAGCTTAGTATGTTAACCTTGGACAATAAGTTCTTTCTAATTAATGCTGAGACTGACATATGAGCATTTACCTATGTAAATTTATAAACTGTTTACATGGAAACCATGCCCTATGAGGGGCAGCTTATGGATCTGAGTATGTTTAGCCTGGAGAAGGGATGGTTAAGAGGTGACATGATAGTCATTTTAAATATTTGAAGGGATGTCATGTTGACAATGGGGCAAGCTTGTTTCTGCTGTGACTGGGACACTGAATAATGGATTCTAACTACACAAAAAGAGATTGCATCTAAACACTGAGAAGAATCCCTGATGTGCAGATGTTCAACCTGACTTCTGGACAATGTATATTAATGGAAAGAGAGCTGTTCATGTGCTGCCTTTGCCCATCCTGACATACAGATCTTAAGTGCCTATGGGAAATCACACTTGCATTAAATAATTTTGTGAGCTGTGGAAGGTGGTGGCTTCAATATCATTGTGTGCTTAATATATTCTGTGTTTTAGAAGCTTTAAAGTTGTTCTTAAATGGGTTGGATGCTATTCTCCAAACACTGGACGTTTTCACACTGTCCTCCTAAAGCCGGGTGGAGCCATTCCGGAACGGGTCGTGCCGCCGATTCCGGAATGGCTCCGCCGCCGAAAGGCTAATTCCTGTTGGACAGCCAGAATTACCTTTACGCCGCTTCAGCCAGAGTTATCGTTGGTTCGTCCGGAGTGACGCCGGACTTAGGGCTCCGTGTGTTTGAACACACGGAGTGAAAAGCCGGCTGGACGCAGGGATGACACCGGAAGGGGCGGGGTTTGCCGCCGCGTGTGTGTGAACACACGGGAAATGGAGCCGGAGTGAGGCCGGCGGGATGCCGGCTAGTGTCCTACTTTTGCCCCGTGTGAAAACGTCCACTGACTAGTCACCACTGTGTATTAGAACTTCATATTAGAACTCCCTTATGTTTGAATATTGATAACTACCTGGGCTGAAATACTAAATCACCAGTCTGTTATTTTTAGATCACTATCTGTCAAATAATATTTAAAAAAAAAAAACCTCTTTGAGGTAGGCTTGCACTGCCAGACAGACTTCAGTTCCCATCATACCCAGCCAAACAGGGTTTATGGAAAATTTTATCAATTATGTAAGAAGAGTAAAACTGGGATAAGACAGCTGGTGGCAGTTGAGTCATACAAGTTAATGATCTCAATCTTATTGGTTAGTCCTAGTAAGAGTAGCTACTGAATCAGCTACTGAGTGTCAAGTCAACACACAAATCCCATTAATTCACTGGGTATACTCTAGCTGGAAATCACAAATAAGATTCAGGCCTAAGTGTAGTGTGAATTGACTTTGCTTTGAAACTTCTGCCAAACAGCTTCATTGGATACATACATTTAAAACTATTGCATTTGTCTTGAAGAACAGTCCTAGATTAATTTGTCTTGTGACCCTGTCCTGATCCACTGTCAGGAGTCAGAACTGTCTAACATGTTTGGCCTTGTGGACTGTTGCATAACAACTCTGCGGAATAGGAACAGTCAACCAGATCAAGAAATTTAACCTTGTATTAAGTATGAGCTAGCTAATGCATAATTACATGTGACCCATCATTCACCCATCCCCAATCTTCCTTCTCATGTTCGCCTGTCCCCTGTGCTACTTAGGATAAATCCACTGTCACCGGCAGCATATTGAGTGTCTATAGAAACCAGAGAGGGATGAATAAAGCCCAGTGTGTCAACACTGGATCAAAAGGCCATCTGGCAATATCTCTTCCAAGTGAGGTTAATGTTCCATTGGGAAGGTTCAGGGGAGAGATATTAATATGTTTTTTCCCCCCTGTGTAGTCTCTCATACCTCATTAGCAACATCTTATCCCGTTAACACATTAATGCCATTCCTTTGTTATTACATTAGCATTCATATCATATCAGGACATATTGTTCCCTAATACAATGTTACAGTCGTATCATATTAGCAACTTTCATATCAAATTAAGAGAAGCAGAGATTAGGAAGGCATTCTGATTCAATTAGCAAGGTGGCAGCATCCCTCTCTTTCCAAGTCACTTCTGAGAGTGGTCCTAAATGGCAACTTGATGAGACACTTTGGCAAACACTTTTCATCCATTACAGCTTTGCCTGGCTCACACATGACATTGTTTTAGACAGAGTCAAATAATTGATCCATTTAATCCAGAATTGTTTCCTCAGGTTGGCAGCAACCAGTGGGTGGCGTGAGAGCCTTGTCCCTCATAAAAGAAGAGGCCTGCCTAGGAAAAAAAAAATGAAATGTAGGAAACAATGGATCTGCCAGTGTTGCTTTCTCCAATATCCAACCTTTCTTTCCCCCCTGAAGTTCTTTCCATTTAGTTTGTGGTAAGTTCTATCAAAAACAAATTTAACCAAATTGTCAGCAATATACACTGGACAATTCAATAAGTGCAGCCATTCCTTGGCCTGAAACCTGTTGGTCATACACGTGCATAAGTTCACTTACATATAGAGTTCTGTTGCTTTTTTTTTTTTTTTTGTCATTGTGCAAGAGATTTGTCCCCTGATGCTTGAATAAGCAGAGTTCTGCATGTATTACCATTTTGCATACATTTGTGGATTTGTGGAACTATTCTCAGAGCCTTTGAAGTGTCACTTGAATCATTGGGCTTACAGAAACAATGCATTCCCCATTGCACAACAGGAAAAGACGAAGGTTCACTTTGAGATACACCACTGATCTCACATTGCTTGCATTTGTCAAAAGCCTGGTGTAGCACAAATGCTGTTTTCTTCACAAAACAACCACATGCAACTTTTTCTTCAGAAGTCCCAAATGTGAAGATTTTTGTCCATTAATGATTCTTCTCATCAGGATTTCTTGACACTTCTTTACTTTTTTAAAAAATATGTTTGAATATTCTTTCCATCCCTACTGTCCATGTAACAAAGCAATTAGAAATGTATGTAGAAGCCTGCCTTCCAAAGAAATGTGGAATTCATTGTTGAGGGAGGCTAAATTTTCACTGTCTTTAACAATATTTTGCTACAAAAATCTTCTTGTTTAATGAGGCATTTGCTGTATATGTTTAATTCCTACTGCACTGCCTTCCATACTGTATTGACATTTTATTTCATTTTATTTTATTTTGTAACTAATCATATCTCATGACTATTTTTAATTGTTGTTAAGAACTCATAGCAGTGTGTCACAATACTAGAAAATGGAAAACAGGCTTTTAACACAAAATAAAATATGTAAATCTGATGAAGGACCAAACTGCAGCATTAATTAGCACTGCCATAAAATACATTTTCTCTCAACTTTTTCAACTTAGCCTAGACTAAGAAGAAGAGCCCTACCTCCAGTCCATCTGCCGTCATGTGGCCTCAGAGGGAGAGAAGAACTGCTGGACCTAATCCCTTTCCCCACTGTCATTCCTTTCTCTTTTTGTGTCATGTCTTTTAAGCTTGAGGGCAGGGAACCATCTACTTAACTTTTGTAAGCTGCTCTGAGAGCCTTTGTGGCTGAAGAGCAGGGTATAAATACTCCAAATAAATAAATACATAAATAAATCATAAACACAGAAAAAGTATAAAGAAAAGGGGGGAAAAGATTAGGGAAGGAATAGATTTAGCCCTCAGTATCCACAGATTCTGTATCTACGAATTCAACCATCCACAGCTTGAAAATATTCAACAACAACAACAACAGCAAATATTTATTATTATTGTTTATTTATTAAATTATTATTATTATTATGGAAGGAAGGAAGGAAGAAGAAGAGTCTTAGTCATGGTTAGTTTACATGTTTCTAGCCAACATCTCTCTTTCTATGAATCTTATGCATTATAGTGGGTCTTTGTTTGGTTCCAGGACCCTCTGAGAATACCAAATCCATGGATACACAAGTCCCATTATATACAGTGGTATAGTAATGGTGTCCTTTATAATAAATGGCAAAATCAAGCTTTGCTTTTTGGAAATAATAATAGTAAAAATAATCAGCCAGTATGTCAGAGTAAGTGACAGATAATATCTTTGAACAAAAATGAAGCAATCAAAGTATCTCATTTATGAATGATAGGTGGTAAATAATTTTTTTCTTTTCAATTTTCCTTTTCATACTTTTCTCAGCTTCTGCATTTCTCACAGTCCAGCCTTTTCTCTAATTGAGAACTGTAATTTAAAATGTATTTGATCAACATGGGTAAAAGCTTTTGTTCACTCAATGCTGGGTGAGATTATTAGACTTTTGTGCACTCTTTCCCAACATCTTTTTTTTTTCACACTTTGGGATTGTTTGAGACAATTCACAAGGGATACTATAGCCAAGATTCTGCACCTTTAGCTGTTCTTAGTTCTATTGATGGCACCCAAAAAACCCTACCTCTTAAAGCAGGCAGCACCCCATTTGAAAGGTTTCCACAGTGCTGCAAATTGAGCCCTGGAAAATGATAAGTGCAGCACTCTCCTGCTCGTGAGATGCATTCAGATGGGCAACTAAAGAGATCCCTTGGGAGCACAGATTTGTTAGTCCCAACAAGAACTTTATTGCATTGTAGTGTGTCTTCGAGTTGTTTCCCAGTTAAGGTTACCCTAAGGTGAATCTATCACATTTTCTCGGTAAGATTTCTTCAGATTAGGTTTGTCCTTGCCTTCCTCTGTGGCTGACAGAGTAGGACTTTCCCACAGTCACCTGGTGAGTTTCCATGGCCAAGCAGGGATTTGAACCCTAGTCTCCAGAATCCTAGTCTAGCACCCAAACCACTAAGGCATGCTGGCTCTCCAACAAAAATAGACCCACTGAATTAATTATCAAAAGGTGAGTCAACAGAAACTTACATTCAAATGATTCCAGGGTTCTGCTTTAATTAGGACCAATTATAGGATATAGGCTCTTGTGGTTACACTTCACTTGCACAACCATGAACTGAATATCTTTGTTGCACAATAGGCAATCATATTTGTAAGGAAAATTTCCCCACATGTGTGACAACCTCTTTTTTCATACAAAAAATGTTATTATCATTTTTGCTATCAATAAAGAGGGGCTAGTGTGTGTGTGTGTGTGTGTGTGTGTGTGTTTATCACAAAGGAAAAAAAGGAAAAAAAATCAATAGATTACCCTTTTTTCTCCATTGGAGAAATATAATTGCAAATAATGGATGGAATTCAGTAAGGGACTTCTTCAGAAGTGGATTTACCTCTGTGGGAAATAGAATTGAGCTGTTTTGCAATGTCTATTTTCACTAAGGGACTATCATGATGGTATTACATAGTGGAGCCAGAAAAGTGACTGATACACAATAAGACTGATGCACAATGTGAGCGATATGCATTGGGGCACCAACTATGGAGTTCTGATGCATATTGGTGGAGCCTTACAGTCATCAGTACACTCTTGCCAGTGTCCTGGCATAAGTCATTGCAATTCATTAGGAGGGTTTCTTAGCACTTCTGCTGAGTACTTAAGTATCCATACTTATATATGAATCCCATTTTGGAAGATGACTCCCACTTTGGGAGAAAGGAGGAATATAAATCTCATATATATATATATATATATATATATATATATATATATATGAATGATAACCTGTCATAGACAATTCTTTGCTTCTCTGTGCTGACACATTTTAGCTGTGTTTTCTGAAGCCTGTTGCTTATTTTCCTGGTTTGAAAAGGGAGGGATGTCTCTGCTGTCAGGGTGGGATAGTCTAAATAATCAGAAAATATAAGAGAATATGTCCCTATCCTCTTCTGACAAAGGGAAGTGCTTGGCAGTAAATAGGGCCCTGTTTCCATTGTGTTCCATATGGGAGCTACACAATGCAAAGTCAGAGTATTACTATGAGTAATGACCTATAAATATTCCACTTGTTAACCATGTAATCAATTCTCTAGTCTCTCTGGACAGCTTGCTCATTTTCACCCTCCCTTTGGCATATTTCTGCTGTATAATTTAAATGCATGCATTATAATCACCACCAACCCTCTCTCCCCCCTTCTCATTTTTGCTTGCTTGCTGTACTGTTCAAGGGCTTGCTCATTTAACACTGAGTTATTTATTCATTTATATTGGACTAGAATTGCAAAGTCTGTACCTAACAGGTTTTGTGCACTAAGTAGTTATTCCACAGGGTGGAGAGGTTAAAGTGTTATGGCTTTGTACTTTGATAAAGAAACTAGAGGCATCTGGTGCTCAGCTTTGGGTACTGCTGGTTGAGATGGCAATGCTAAATGTCTCTGTGTGTCTGTATCTGTGTCTGTGTTTAATGCAAACAGTTGGTTATGGGCATTGGAATGTTGCAACCATCCTTTTCTCTTGAAATGCACTGGAGGAATCAACCTCCACATTTCTCACTTACTGCCTGAGAGTTTTGAAATACAAACAACACAAGAAAGTCCTCAGTGAGATTTCAACCTAGAGTCCATCCAGTACAGCAGAATTTCAAATTCAAAAGCAGACTACTAAATATTTTGTGAAGAAGTACTTCATCCATGAAACCCACTGGGTGACCTTGAGCAAGTCACATGTTCTCAGCCTCAGGCAATGGCAAACCTCCTCTAAACAAATCTTGCCAAGAAAACCCCATGATAGGTTTGCCTTAGGATTGCCATAGGTCAGAAATGACTTGAAGGCACACAATAACAACTTCTGGGAAATTCACCAGCAGCACATGAAGAGCCTCAGCCCTGGTGGCGCAGTGGTTAAATGCCTGTACTGCAGCCACTCACTCATAGACCACAAGGTTGCGAGTTCAATACCAGCCAGGGCTGAGGCTCGACTCAGGCCTGCATCCTTCCGAGGTTGCTAAAATGAGTACCCAGCTTGTTGGGGGGCAATCAGCTCACAGTTGTAAACCGCTTGGACATCCCATAGCGTGATATGAAGCGGTATATAAATGAAGCTGCTTTGCTTTACTTTTGTCTGAAGAAATCAAATTGATGCCTTTAATTTGGGTTTTCTTCAGCTTTAAGTTTAGAGCAATCTTGCCACCTTACCTATTTTTCTAAACTCTTATTGTAGGGATCCTGCTGTTGTTGTTAACTTCCATCGAGTCAGTTCATGGTGACCCTGTGGATGAAACATCTCAAAAAACAAACAAACACAAAAACCCTGCCATCCATTGCTCTGCTTAGGTCCTGAAATTCAAACCTTTGGCCTCCCTAACTGAGCCTGTCTTTCCAGCATGCAGTCTTCTTTTCTTCCTTCTGTCCTCTATCTTTCCCAGCATC